TTAGGGCTTAGGGTATAGAGTTTAGGGTTTAGGGTGTAGGTACGGATGAGAGGCTTGGGATCCACGACGTGATGTATTGCCTCAGCGTCACAACATGTTGACTACGGCGAGACATTACCTCAACAAAGGGCTGAACTGAGAGGCCGAAAGGCCTGTTAGTCATTGAGGTTGTAGCGCTGCTTAACTTAAAGCATCTGCAACTTACCGCTTCCTAGCAAGAAATGAGGGAATATAATCCCTATATAATGCCTATATAATATATTCCTTTATTCCCCAGGAAGGGCCAAGGACACCCCTGTAGGACTTTGGGAGGCAACGGCAAGACCTTCGCGTGACGACTGATAGGCTTTGGGGGCCCCAAAGCTCAAAACCCTAAACGTTTTGGGTTTAGGGTTGTGGTGAAGGTGTGAACACTCAAGCCTAAACTTCATGGGGCTAAGTAGGGAATAAGGGAACATCTTAGGGATTATTTTCCCTACTAACTCCCAGCAGGTAAAAGCCAGAATTCTAGACCCAGTACCATGCCCCTGAGCCCAGCACCGGAAACATGATTCGAGGCCTCACCGAGGAACAGGCCATTTCAGGTGGGGAGCAGCTACAAAGCGGATAGGGCTTTAGGACTTCGGATTTATGGCTTAGGGTGTGAATTCGAGGGTCTTCATTTCTGGGTTTTAAGTTTTTGCAATGCATATAAGGACGACGGAAGAGTGTTTAAGCTGACCTCCTGACCAAGCGAGCAACTACTTGGACCCTCCCCAAAACATAACAAATGGCATAGAACCAAGCAAATGGCCAATGATGCCAGTACTCTACACAGTTTGGGGGTCTTGTCGATATGACCAAGCTGTAGAGCCTGCAAGTTGAATCCTGAACCCTAGCGTTTTAGGATTTAGGGTTACAGGCCTGCGTTTCCCGAGGAGACACTTAAGATCCCTTCGGCAGGGTATGTAAGGAAGCCCATACCCCAAACAACATCAAGGTCTAGGGTTTTTGGTTTAGGCTTGCATGTTTAGCCCGAGTCCCTATAAACCCTAGTTGACATTTCAGCTAATTGCCACTTACTTTTCGGTTCGGTTCTCCATGATTGAAGATTTTAACTACCATATACCAAAATTCTTCAAGGAATCTGGGACCATAATTTCTATGGGGTTGGGGTTTAGGGTTTAGGGTGTAGGCGTTTACATTGCATAGTCTACATACAGCCTTCTATACAATCCTCGTCTCTGTCTGAATTCGAATGTCTCTGCAATTTGATTTTCCACTATCCCTAAGTTTTGAAAGAGTCGCCTAAATTACTACTAAGCTCTAACTTCTGGATCAAAAGACCCTAGACACTACAACCAATAGCCTAGGCCCCTACATTACCTGAACCAAACCCTACACCCTAAACCCTAAACCCCCTAAACTCCAGACCCAAAATTCTAAACACTAAACCCATAAACCCTTAAACCCTGAAAACCTTAACACAAACAACAACTAAACCCAAAAGACCGAAACCCTAAACCGAAAACTCAAAACCCACTAACCCTGTGAACGCCCAACACCCCTAAACCTAAAAACCTGAAAGACCCAAACCCTGTGCACAAAATCCCTAAACTCTATATCATAAATCCTAAAACCCCAAACCCTAGACCCTGAATCCGGAGGCAACGGCCAGAAGTAAGTTTTCTCGTGAGGCGTTGGCCTGGGTGATTTTATTGTTGCTCATTGGTTTAGGGTTTACGGTCTTGGGTGTCTAGTGGTGTAGGGGTTAGGGTTGAGGGTTATAGGCTTTCAGGGCCCCTGTATAGGGGCTCTAGGGACATACAATGATTTAGGGATATGTAGGCTTCAGGGCGTAGTGTTGAAGAATAAGGAGAGCAGGAGCTGTGGAAAGCATGACCATACTATTAGGAAGCTGTTGATGCCAAGCCCAAAAAGGGGACGCTACGATTATCATATATGGCTCTTCTTGGGTCCCTGAGTGGGGTTAGTAAGGGTTTGCAAAATCATGTTATCCTTGTTGACGGTTTACAGGTTTAGGGGTTGAGGGTGTCTAAGTGTAGGAAACAGGGTTCGTAACTTGCAGCTCAGAATTTGGAACTGTGGATCACTGCATAGAACAGGCTTATCTGCCCCGTAGGTTCTCCCAAGGGCCCAATAAACCGCCCCAGCATGATGATGAACAGGCTATAAATCTTCGAGTCTATGAACCTAAACCCTAAACCCCGAGCCCTAGACCCTGAACCCTAAACCGCGTTTGCCCGCATTTCTTTTAGAGCAATTCCTAAATCCTAAACGCTAAACCCTGAAATACTCAAAGCCTTTGATTGTTTAGGCCCCTGACCTAGGGGCCGTCGATTCCGGACATGGACACGGGTGTAGGGTTTGGGGTTTTTTAGTGGGGTTATAAGAGGCAATATATGGTGGGCTAGGGTTTGGGGTTTTAGGGGAGGTCATAAAAGGCAAGAACTATTTGTTTTTGTTTCTGGAAAGCGCTAAGCCCTAAACCGCGGTGGTATCCGCTCATGTCTTTACATTGTGGGCGGGCTCCAGGTTATCAATCCTTTGCTCCTGACCCTGAAGCTCCAGACAACCCCGTGCAGGTACAAGCTATAGTTTTTACCCAACGTAGGTATGACTTTTGGGCTTAACCCTCAGGGTACTAGCATCACCCGCCCCCTCCCCCCCCGCCACCTATGAACGTTTCCCCACCTAATATTTGGCAGAAAGTGGCCTGAAACTTGACATTTGGTTTGAAACTGAAACTGGGGGTCTGGTGGTCTTGAATCTCTGGGATTCTATTAAGTTTACGGTGCCAACTGCAGAAGCAGAGGACATATAGCCATAAGGGGGGGGTGCATAGGGGCCAGGCCAGCGCATAACTCGCACAGTTTGTAAAAATCCTACTAAATCCAAAAAGTCTAAACCCTAAGCCCCTAGACCCGAACCCTAAGCCCTAAAGTCTCGCAGCGTAAGCTCTGAAGCCATGCCAGAAAGCTCATAGCCACGGCATGAACACTGCAACATACTTTTTCGAAAGCTACCATAGGCTACCATATCATTGAGACATACTTTGGTTCCGCATGAATTCCTGTATAGATACATTGAGGCCCCTAAGCCCTAAACCCCAAACCCTCAAACTGTTCGAATGCCCTGGGGATTTTCGGGAGTTTCCAGCAAACCTGGATCACGACAATCCCATGAAATGGTGCTGCCCTAGGTATGTCAATGAACCTTGGCTGTTTGTTCGGCTTTAAGGTTTAAGGTTTAGGCAAGTGTAAGGTTTAGTTTAGAGTAGACTACTTTAATTCTTCAGCTGTTTGTGGATCCAGGTAAGATGTTCTGAAGGGAAAGAGAACAAAGTTTGGGAGAGTAGTCGACGATGTCATTTCTGAAGCATCGAAAGCAATAACGGTTTAGG